ATTAAGCATTAACCCGTATAGCCCTATTTTTTACCCTACTCATGCGGCTGTAAACTAAATTTCGCTTTGTTTAAAAAAAACAAAATTATTGTTACTTTACGGCCACAACACTAAACTCGTTCATTAAATAATACAGTCAAATATCGTTAATTTCGGATACCCATATCCGGACCTCAACGCCTACAAACTTTCTCGCATGCACTCCATCCGCGATGCATGCGCATAATACAACAGGGGGGGGGTTAGCGGTTAGTCGAATATTCTTGTGCGCGTGTTCGAAAAAATAACATCTTACGAGTGCACGTTTAATGTCTAACAGACGGTATAAAGCTAATCTATAATTAATTCTAGATTATCTAGTTCAGTTTAATGTTGCAGATTGCCGTTGTTCCTTAATCTCGAATTGGTCCGGCTTATTATTTTTGCGACTGTTCTAACATTTTATAAAAGTAAGCTTGAACTTTCGATTATGTCAATAAATTTCGGATAATATTTAGTACTCTGTAAAAGATCTACACAGCAAAAGTCTTGTTCTCTGGAAGTTCATTAAAACACAAAGGTAAATCGATGCAAAACTGGATAAAGGCATTCCTTTGTTTATCTAAACTTTACGTTTGTTTATCTAAACGTTGGGTTGTATCTTTACCCGGGGCATGGGGCAATGATTGGAAGTTGCATCTGTCAGCACTATCCTAAAAATAAAAAAGACATTCATGTGTGCGAATGATTTTTTGTTTTATTTGGCTATGATTCCTGACTAAATGTAAGTGTGTGGTCATCACGATTACTCCGTGCTTTGATATGATTTAAATCAAATTCCCTCGTCATATAATTCGCTTCTGATAGCGAAGAAGTGACGATGTTTATTGCCAACGAAAAATTCCTATTGACAATTAGTCGGTAGACACATCAAGGGGTGGTGGGGGTAGAAGGGACTTGAAAGCGGAACTTTGTACGAACAAGAAATTATGTCTGTTTAGAGACTTGGAGAGAATGTGTTATCACAAAAAAAACGAAGCACTTAAGACGTACATTGAAAGAAAAGGTTTAATAAAGTACACTAATAAATATTAAGTCTTCTTTTTTTTTTTGTAAATTTTTATACCCTTAGATCAATAAATTGTTCTTTATTCATAAAATTTACGGGTTTCGATATTTTTATATTCATTTCATTATTTTTTGATTTTCTCATGCCACCTACCAATTCAAACTGAGACGATAATCCGGAATCGGCCCGAAGCTTCCCCCGCCGAGTTCCGATTAACGACTTGACTGTATAATAGTGGTGCATATCAAAAGAGTATTTTTCTTTTTGCGGTTATTCAAATTAAAGAGTTATTTTCGATGCTAAGATCTATCATGAATTTAATAGAATAAATACTTTTTATACTTGATATTTTTCTGATTAAGTGCCTCAACACGGTAATGATTAGTGGACTGAGTGCCGTATACCAGAAGGGCTCAAGTTCCGAAATGCCACTGACAAGACATGATTACATCCTGCCCATATGTTCATAGGTAAATGAGGTCTTGTGAAAGATTTCTTCTGAAGTCCAACCTGTACCGTAAATAAATATTTTGTGTTCAAAGATATTAGAAAATAATCTAAAATAAGGGTTTACAAAATATATTATTTAGCAATTAGAATTTATCGTAGACACACTTCAATTGAAACATGGCACGAAACGGCTGAAAAAAAGTGCCTATAATTTGTAATGAAGTAGTCTGTCACTAGCACTGTTAAACAAACACAAAAATTTTGAAACTAATTATACTTAATACTTACAAGCCAACATATACAAGACAAAAACTCAGTGTAAGCATAAAAGCCAATTAATTTTCATATGCCAGAATAGGTATCCATAGAGAAATTTCATTCTGATCCATTTAGGAGACTTTCTTGTGGTACAAGGTTACGTTCAATTAATATTTCAAGATATTAGCTTCCATAAAAATGTAAGTACTGAAGATATTCTAAGAAACAACATCCTCTGAGATTTCATATATCCCGGGCATTCCGACTTGAACAGTACATCCTTAAGATGTTGAGGTGTTTCCGATTCCTCAGGTATACTGAAAATCACATTCTGAGGCGAATATCTTCATATAGCCCGGATATTGAGACTTGAATGGGTATCCTCAGGATGTTGACATTAGAATGGTCCTCAAGGATATCTGAGAAGCATATCCTCAGATATCCCTACTGCTTCCCGGGACATTGCGACTTAAATATGCGACTTAAATAAGATATCCTGAGGATGTCTTGTGTTATGGGGGTAAGTACCCAATATTAATAAAAGCAATTAAATCTATTTTTACTTGCGTAGATGGAATTTGTTCAAAGTTTATTTATATGGCTGTTATTATTACAGAATGCAGTACACCCTTGAACACTGATAACCGAAAATGCTAAACAGACTATGAAATACTACTTATCTCATTATATTACAATATACTTGAGGATCAGTAATCCTTTCTGAAAATCCTTCTGGTAAAATTATTAAGGATAATTTTTTGAATAAATAGACAATTCTCAACATTCCATGAATCAGTCTCTTCTGTCTAGCAACACCTGTTAGCATGCATACTTCAAGTTCTAATCTAATACTTAAAGGGTTAAATAAAAAGCTAATACTATCTGTATCAAGATGGCTTGTTGATCATACTATACTTTCAGTTTTTAGCAAAGAAAAATATAAATGCAGTCAGTTCCCAGAAGATGAACCGTCCAAAATGTTATGCAGCTGTGTGAAATGATGTAATGAAACATACATTAAATTTTTAATTAATGAAAAAACTATGCATTTTACTTATGAAATTGTTTGAAAATGTGTGTATTTCATATTAATATTCTGAATTATTTGAAATTGTGTAAGATTTTTATTCCATAGTAATTTTCAGGATTCTTTAATCTACAATTATTCCTGTAAAATACTTACGTGTCTTATGTACAAAATTCAAAAGTTGTCAACAAACTTTTTCGTTCATTTCTTTCATTTTATCAAGAGTTTATTAGCTGGAGCTATTATTTTAGCTTGTAATAATATAACAGAACTTTTGCCGGTGATATGAAAAGTATCGACAAAGGTGCAAACTTAAGTCTTCATTACAATAACTGGGTTTATGCCGATAGGTGTTTGATGTGCTTAGACAAACCAGTTTCTCCAGAGTTTTGCCATTCAGATTTTTAATTTTTCTTTTAAATTTAATCATTCAGAAGGTGCTAATTCTGATAATTTAAAAAACAATAAGTGCTCTCTTTAATAAATGATGTAATCTTAAATGCAATTAATGTACACTATGTCCAATTAGTAATAATTTTTAATGAATATTTGCAGGATCTTTCTAATTCGCTAAAATCTGTTTCTATGTCATCTAGGTCAAAACCTACTTTTTACAAAATTATTCATTCCTTTTTTTAGATTTGTTTATTTAAGGAATTTTTTTAGATTCTGAAAATAAATTTATTTCTGAAAGTTTGTTCAGTAAGTCGGGGGGGAAATTTAAAAACATATAGTGAGTTGTTAAAAATAAATTAAAAAATAAAAAGTCTGAAGAGTTAATTTGTGAAAAAATTTAAATTTCTTTTTATAATGTTAAATGTGTAAGACTCGATTACGATTCTAAGAAAAATGTGTAAGTAATTTTTAATAAATAGGAAAATAATTATGAGAATCTGCATGATAGTTTGTTAAAAAATGTAGAATCTTTTTTTATGTTTTAATTGTCAGGTATTTACAAGGAGATAAGTATTGAAAAACAAATATGCAAAAAAAAAAAAAAAAAAGAGTAAGTATTCAGTTATGTACCTTGACTGAAGATGCAAGCACTAGAATAAAAAACTTTTCTAATTGTTTGTATATTTAAAACATGCTGGTTGAGGAGGATTTTGTTATCACTTTTATTTTTTGCATGGTAAACAAATATGCAATATAAGCATTTATTTTCTAGTCGGCTATAAGGGGGGATCCTAATCTCTTAAGCTAAATTCTTAATGTATGTCTTGATTATCCACACACTACAAAAAATTGGCAACTCTCGGAAATAAGGAGAAATGTTTGCTTAGCTTTATAGCTCGTAGCTACTTTCATAAATTATTACTGCTCTTAAAAATAATAATAAAAGCATTTCATAAGAAACAAGGAATTTTATGAAAAAATGAAAACATGAATGGTTACCATTTAAATTTTTAAGCTAGTGGATGCTGATTAATATAGCCTTCAAAATTTCTTTGAATCATTTCTTAATCTCCTGTGCAAATGGTGTAGTGATTAGTGATGCTGACTGCTTTACTGAAAAGCATGGGCTCAAATGCTAGAAAAGACTTGGATGTGTGTAAGCATATAGTGTCTGTGTAGCAAAGGGGCACTCAAACTACAGTATGAAGAGAAAGGCTGTCTTCAGATTTCTCTCTAATCCATATCCTGACTCCTCTGTTGTAATTTTTGATGTTAACATGATGATCGTTTTTGAAGTAAAGTTTCATAAAATTCTTTCTTTCTGGGAAAAATAATGTATTTCTGAAGAAATATAATGCTGTCTTTCTCCTCAGCAGATAATTGCTGATCTTGGTGCATCCTGCTGATTATCAAAATGACAGTTAAATGCAAAACATGGAAATTCTTTATGCAGACAAGCATATGTGTGACTTGGCTATTGTTGTATATGTACTCAAAGATGTGCAAAAATAATAACGTTTTTGCTGAATATTGAAACTTGATATGTTGATAATCAAAAAGTGCCTTCCCTATCATTAGAAGATACACAGTCATTATTTTAATGGTCATATATCTTCTAATGATTGTAAGATCAAAACTGCACTGTAATTATTCACAGTAGTTGTATATAATAAGAAGGAAGGCTAAAATGTGCTTTTATATTAACAGTAAATTCATATTTTTTTTCTGAAACGCGATAGGATGGTTTTACTTTTTATGACATCTTAAATATGAAAAAGGAATTTCAAGTTCTATATTTATCTTTCTGTGCTTATTTTCCAGGATTGCTGAATGACGTCAGAAAAAAATTTCCACACAGCTTGAATCACGATGCGTTGCTTGCTAATTGTTGTTGGGAGCACCTTATGCAATGGAGTAAAAACAAAGATGCTGTTAATCATCTCGACAAATCCTTAAGTTGTCTGAATTTTGTTGGAAGTCCGTTGATTAAAAATGGTATTTAACTTCTTCAAGTACTTTTTTATGTAACCTAAATATTTTATTACTTTTTTAGTTTATAGCACTAAAATTTTTGAAGTAATTGAAACAAATTCCAGAATTCTTTGTTTTCTGCATGTGTTACATACTTCAGAAAATGTCTAATTTGGTTTATAAAATTGTTTTCATATCCAGGTAACCTAATAATCAGGGTTCCCCAAACTTTATTGGTAGTCAACCTCCTCCAAAAATGTTTGAACTTTTTATTTAAATTTTTATTTTGCTTATTTTTATAATTTTATTTATTTTTATATTTTTGTTAAGGTTTCACCACATAATTATGATCGGGTGAAAAAAGAAGCTAATATAATGTTTAGATTTTTTATTTATTTATTATATTTTAGATTACATGTATCTCATTCTAATTTTTAAAATTCTGCACTAACTCAACATTCATCAGAAATAAGGGAAATAACCAATTCTCTGTTATGATAAATCAGCAGAAACATTCTGATTTTAATAATAAATTTGTCTACACTTGTAATACATCTGAATGGTGATTTAACCATATTGAGATAACATGCCTTTGTTTAAGAAATACCCTTGGGCTGGATGAAAGTCAACAGGAACCGTCCCACAGGACGGAGGTTTTGCATCGCTAAGCCTAACTATTGAAAAAAAAATAAATAAATAAATAAGTTCTTAATATCAAAAGTTTGGGTTCTATTTAGACTTATTAACATTTTTTGATTATTTATAAAAATGATGTTGTCATTCCCTTCTTTCCATCAATTAGCATAAAGTTGCCACATATTTTCAGAAATTTAACTTGGTTTGTTTTATTCTCCCATCAATAAAATTCCGAGTTCCATACTTAAGGAACCCCCCATTCTCCGGATATGAATTCCATGGGGTATTTATAGGATTCCTTGCCAGTGTGGGTTTAATTTACATTGCCAAACTAAGAGAGCCTTAACATTTCGCATCAAGGAACATGAGGCATATGTTAGAAGAAGGAAACACAGAATTCTTCTGTTTCGGCAACATTGTGGTCCGAAATCACACTTTCATTCAGTTTTTCTGCTGCCAGAATATTTCAAAAAAACATCTTCCCTTTAGACTGATTTCACATTCATAAAAATCTAGATGCATTTCACATTCATAAAACTCTTTCTGTTTCTAGTTAACGTCCTAATTCCAATCAAATTTGCCTTCGGCTTGAAAAAATTATGTTTTAGTTCTGGTTTCATCCAACCAACAGATGGCGCCACTTGCTTATTATTGTCACCAGGCTTTTTCTTATCTATCTAATCATTTTTCCCCTTCTTGTTCATTTGTGGTTTTGGCAAGCTGAAGGATGGTTGGTTCAGCAGTAAAACCATCGAAACTAGTCCATGTGAAAATTGTTGTAATATACGCTGGTTTTTTGTTGTTTGTCTTTCTGATTAGTATTTATTCGGCGTGTTATTGTGTCTTAATCAGGAAATGTTTATAACAAATTCTAGTTAGAAGAGATAGAAACTGTCAAAGAATATTGGCGGTTTCAATCCAACGATCTGTTCAAGATTTCGAGCTAATGCTGTCACATATTCACTGCCCTGGCCCCATATTTGGCTACTTGTGTCTTTAATATCAACAACTTGCCTACGATGAACAGAATAACCTATCCTTTAGCTTCGAAGCTGTACTTCAAACTTTTTTTGTAGATGATTATTTAGTAGTGCTGCTCGAAACACTGAAGCATGCAAAAATCTAGTAAATCAACTCTTTCGAATGTTGAACGTGGATGATTTCTTCTGTGTAATGGTCAGCCAATGACTTGTCAGTAATTAAGATATACTCAATGAAGTTGAGAAAGGATTCTGATGCTTGAACTTAAGAACGATAGCTCACTCAAAGTTTTATAAATTAATTGGAACCCCCATGACGACTTACTTCAACTTTTCCCGTTCCCATTTCTGGAGAAAAGTTTAATACAACACGAACAGAGGTATCCTTTGTCTGTTCGAACAATACATATTTGACCCATTGGGTTGGCTTGCTCCTTGTATTATTTATGTCGAAATCTTGATACAAGACATGTGGAAACCAATGGCTTAGCTAGGGTGGGGCAAGGAAGGACATCTGTCCTCGGGCACAGCATCAAAGGGATGCAAAATGATGCTACGAAATTTTTTAATTTTTCATTCTTGGCACATATAAAGGAGCGCAAATTCTTCAGTTTTCCCAGGGGATGGAAACTCTAGCTACGCCCCTGGTAGAAACTCCATTTATCGTGGGATGAACCTGTTAGTGGTGAGATTGCTAACAAATGGAAGAGTTTCCAAAATGATTTACATCTTATTCAACAATTACAAATACCGAGATTGTTTTGATTCCTGAGTAAACTATATTGATATATTGCTTTTTGTGATGGCCTCTGAGAAGGCTACTATGCAGCAATTTATTTGCGTTCATGTCATGTAATTGGACTCAAAGTCACACTCTTAACATCACAAATGAGTGGTTAACCCTCTGAACAGGAATCACTACCATATTAAGTTAGAGCCAGTTTTGTTAGGAATTTACTAATCAGTATTAGAATTTATAATTTCCTATATGTCATGTTTTGGCCTGGGCCGAGTCACTGTTGTACTGTCGCTGGATTTTACAGAAACCTACCCGTGGGTCCTTTGTTGCAAATCTGTTGCTAAATACAGAACTCAATTCCTCATGTAAGGTTGAACCAGTCATGGAAAGCTGAACCCAGCCTGATTCAGGGACCAGAGGAATTTTTTCCAGCCGAATTTCTGAATTTGAGCGATGGTTCTTAGACCCTCTTGTTATATTTAACAAATTTCAAAACATGACCTGACAATGATCATCTTTGTGCTGATGTAGATTATGAAGGAGTTCGTAGAGAAAAGAGAAAAGCGTGCATTTAAGTATCTTGTACAGTAAAGGAAAATGACATTTTTGAACAGTATTCATCTTGGACAAAATTACATTGTATAGTTGGCTTTATGCCTAAGATTCATTTGCAACTGTCCAAAGTCCTCCGAAAATCAATTGAGAGGTTTTCTGACAACCTAGTGAGCTTTGATTAGCTACAAAAAAAGTGATTAAAAACATCCAAGTATTTTATTTTTCTCAGGAGCTCTCTGTTTAAAAACAATCACTAAATTAAAAGTTGAGCACGAGTCATACAAGTACCTTAACTCCTTCCTTAAATGAAGAAGGCATCAATTCGAGTAGGTGGTTGCTTAAAAAAGCAAACATTCCTGAAAATAGCAAACACCTATTTTGCTTCCAATGAAGGACATGTCACTAATCACATCATCGTAACTCATTACCATGTCACTTCATTTGCCGGCTAGTTCAGAGTTTTATTCAAGCAACTTTGCGAATGCAGTTTGGATTCTTTTGTGAGATATATGAGGAAGGATAATTCACAGATGTATTCCTTGTATAGAAATCTGGCAGACTTGACCCTGATACTGGGTATTTACCACTCGCCCAGAGTTCAACATCAAGACCTTTTGCAGTCACTGTGTTTGATTGCTGGTCCATATTTAGTTAAGTCCCAATTTTGAAAAGACTAAAACTTTCAAGTGTTACGCGTATCCATTTTTGGTGTGTTTCTCTCAACAAGGCTGTACAGTTGGAGTTAGTCATTGATCTATCAACTCCACGTCTTAGCAAGCTCTAAAAAAGATTTATTCACCCACAGGCAAACATCTGAAATTTCGAGTGCTGTGCTACTAAGGAAAGGTGCTACTAAGGAACTTCAAAGGTGCTACAAGGAACTGAAAGAAGAATTTATCAAAATTGCAGCTCACATTGAGAAAAGCATGAATTAGTCTCATCTACATTACCACCTCAGAAGGTATAAACTTGTTATTTTAATCCTCCGACAGTCTCCTCACTGCACTTCCGGTGGCTAATGGAATCTAATGTGGAAATCCATGAATTTCATCTTAAGCGTATTAGATTCACACTTCTAACTTACGATGAATTTTTAACCAGTGCTTAACACAAGTGGAGTGTCTATGAATGCTCGTGCTTCTGTGCATTTCGAGTGATCCAAACCTTTAGTGCATTAACTAACTCCAGGTCATTTTCTGATTGGAGGCCCTTTGGCTTGCCATTCTGAATCCTGACTTGATTGAGTGAAATCTTCTAAAATCTGGTCCTCTCGTTTCAACAGGCTGTGCAACATTTTTGAAACGATTGTGTGCAGAAATTTAACTAACCCCTTCAAATCTAAAATGTGTGACTTAGTTCTGATCAAAATGATCAACCATGTAAAATTGGAAAGAATTGCCTAATTCATCCAAGCAGCGACAAGAAAAGTTCAAGTGGCTTACAATCCATACAGCCAATTGTGAAATTTCAAAACGACCCCGCTGTTACTAAATGTGTCTTATCCCCAATCATTGCTAATCTGCACTAATAACTATTGAACTTTAATGTTCGTTATATTTTCAATTATTTTTGTTAATTTTATTATGTAGGCTGTAACTACTTGTCTTCTTCCCTTCTTTTCTTTTCTTTCTTTCTTTTCTGTCTTTCTTTTCTTTCTTTTTTTTTTTTTTATTATACTCTTAGAATGTTTCAATCAAAAGGCGGGGGGCTGGTGTTTTAGTATTTTTTTTTGGTTACCAAACAATATATTGTGTCTTTGCAACATAGATTTGCGGCTACTGGGCCCCCCCTGATGATTCAGTTGTGGTGTTATGGTCACGAACCTCAAATTATGATGTGACTTTTTCATGTGTTTTTATTAGTAAATTATTTTATTGCTACCATGCTTTGAATAATGTCAACGTGGAGGGCATTTCTTTTCTTTTCAATTTCAAACAAAGTGTTTATGTAAATAAATAAGTGATATTATAGTCCACTTGCTTATTTTTTTTTTTTTTTTCATTTTGTGTATTTATTCTTAATCAGTCACATAAAGAGAAAAAGGGAAAAGGAACGCTAAAAGTGAAAACACCATCATAAATTATACCTTGAATATTCTCTAGCAAAAGGTTCCAAGTGTGTATTTGTTTGTTTAAATTCATATATATAATATTGGGTCATCTGGAAAGTTCTACAGCATTTCAAATACACTTCATTTATCACGCAGTTTGAGTATTCTAGAAAGTACAGTGCATGGTCATTTGAAGATTTGGTTTGTAAGCTGCTATGATGTGTGGGCACCCCATATTATGACGGAGCAGAATATGCTTGCATGCAATTCTTTGCTAAAAAAATAAAGAAGCTCTTCCTTTAAATTGCTCATTACCAGAGATGAGAAGTAGATAGTATACAATAATGTTACAAAGCTCATGGTGTAAGCCAGGGGAATTTCTTTTAGTACCACTGAGAATGGGTTACATCCCAAAAAAGTAATGCTTTCTGTATGGTGAGAGTCTGTAAAGCATGGGTGTCTAAACTATGACTGTTTGAGGGCCACATAGCAAGGTAAAAAAAATTTGGGGGGCCGCATTTCAAAGAAAAAAAATTTGCATGGGCGAACATACAATATTTTTTAACAAATTGAAATAAAAATTAGCTCATTGTTGTTTTATTTTCTTTTTATTATTATTGTTTTAATTTGAATTAAGATATGTATAGATACATATTTATTATTCATCTGTAAAGTTTTCGTTTTATTTGGGTTTGGATTTCATAAAGATGGAAAATTCAAATTAATGAGATGGATGAATTGCTGAACAGCAATCGATATCTGGTTCATAGCCAAGTTGCAATTCTTGTTGCATTTTCAAATTGTTTTTTCAGTGACTTTGTCCTATTTTTGTTTTTTGGATGCTTTCTTTATTCTTGAAAATAATTGTTCATAAATAAAGGTACTGTCAAAAACTGAAGACATTAATAAAGCAGGATTGTGAAAATTAGGATATTTATCATAGTGTAGGTAACCTGTATAAAACTCCAGTAAAGAAACATTTTCAAATTTTTCTTTCAGTTGAATGTCACTGTGCAGGTAAATCATCGTGACATACTAAGATGTTTTTATTTAAATTTTTATTTTAAAGTAAGTGCCAATGAATCAATTATATATGAATCAAATTCAAACATTCATTTTTTTTTTTTTTGATAAAAATGTGCAAATTTAAATACTTTCATAATTTGCATTTGGGCCGCATTTTAAAGACTTTTGGGCCACGCTTTAGACACCCATGCTGTAAAGGAATAATTAGATGCCAAATTAAGCAATAAATTTTGAAAAATACTCTTCATACTTATTTAACAGCAGCAATTAAAGCAAAGTGCTCAGATTTTAGCCAACTTTCAAGATGCTCTCATCCAACATAATGCAGGATACCATATTTAGATAGATGTCAGACACAAATTTACTCAATATAGTTGAAATGTTTTATGTCACCTCTCGTATTCATTAGACTTTTCCGTGTTAGATATTCATCTCTTCAGACCACTTCAAAATTCTATGAATGCCTTAGGGTTCCCTTCTTTGAAGAGTGTCAAACAGCACCTTGATACTTCTTTACAAATAAAAAACAAATAACTTTTTTAAGAAAAAATGAACTTTCCAGCTGCCAGAGAGATGACAAAAAGTCACAGAACAAAATAGTGCTTATGTGCTTCAGTGAAATTTGTTTATGCTTTTTGTACTGCTTCATTTGTATCTGTCATAAAAAAAACTCCAGAACTTTCTAAATTGATCCAGTAAAATTTAGTTATTTATTACTTTAGTGTTTTTTTATTTACTTTTCAAATAACCAGTCTTGAAATTCTGACTTATATCTTATGGTAATAATTTGCATGCGTTGAAATAATGCTTTTACTGTGAATTTTTTTAAAGCAGATATAACACAATTTAGGCCAACAAACTTTAAAAGCATCCATAGCTAAGTGATACAGTTTTCATGTTTTACTGAGGCTGCAAGTGTCTAATTTGAAATCTAAATTTTTATTATTGTAATTATTAAGTAACTGACATTTACACTTCCATTGAAAGACTTTTTTTTAAATAAATAATGTAAATCCAAAAATTTAAGCTTGACATATGTATTTATTGTATAATCTACATATATTTTAGGGCATGTAAAATAAATTCCTGTGTATTTGGAAAGTTATTAATTTTTTTTTTCTTTCTTGAACTGATATTTATTATTTAGTGTAGCTGAAAGTTCTATTCCTTTCTTTTTTCCCTGTCCTTTGTAGAGCTAAGAAATATAGCAATGCTTTCATTTGTGATACACTAAATTTGAAATTTATTTTACCTTTTGCTTTTACATGTGAACATTTTCCTCCCCTCTGTTACTGCAATATAAAATTAACATATAATAATCTTGATATTTTCATTATCATATATTGAATTTGGTTGCAGCTATCTTCCTAGCTTTGACTTTTATTTGTTGTTTAAGATAAAAAGGAACACTATTTTAATTTTTATAAATTAGATTTTATTATTATGGATCAGTATCATACATATTTATGTGAAATTCAATTGAATATAAATGAATGTTTAACGGAGTCATTCTACTGATTTATATCATCGTTTTATTTTCTATTCCAGAAAAAAAAAATCATGACAACGTTATACTGTTATATTAAAATTTGTAATTCCGTTGAGATTCCTTTAATATTTAACATATTTCTAAAAGTTTTAAAACTTATTGCATTAGAAGTCACTATAAGATTGTAATCAGCTCAAATGGGAGATGACAAAGTTAAAATTCCAGAAAAAGATAGAAAATAAGGAGGTTAATGCTTCGTAGGATGAAGAAAGTATTACCTCTAAATGGAATAAACTAAGGGATGTTATCATCGAAACAAATACTCAAGTTGTGGAAAAGGTTAAGAGAATGAAAAGGAAGGATTGATTTGATAATGCAGTTTCCTGGCTTAAAAAAAAAAGAAAAAAAAAAAAAAGCAAACATAGCCGGCATTCAAGGAATTGCTTTCTATGATGCCATATAAAGAAGGCTACTCGCGGAGGAATTTTGAGGGGGGGACTGAAAGGCATCAGGGAGAAGATGGAAAAAGAGTAAAAGAGTTAACTTTCTTCGAAGAGATCTTTTTTAAAATGTTGAAAAAACAATTTGATCGGGGTTTCTCTTGGGGATCCCAATAAAAGCAGAAGCTTCTTTCGAGAAATAAAAGAATTCAAAACAAAGACACATCCTCATATAATAATAAGGCTGGGGGGAGATTACTTTGAAAGATAAAAATGGAGTGCGAGAGATGGGGTGATATTTTTTAGTGGCTTTGCTGAGTTTGTTTTGATAATGGAGGAGTATGCGGTTCTCAAGATCCGGCTCACTCATATACAGTGAAGTGAGGTGCCTGACCATCATTAGAAGAAGTTGTGAAGGGTTTAATCAAGCTAAAAGCTAAGAAAAAGCAAGCTGGTTTACTGATGGCTATTCCTAATGAGTTACTGATAGTTCAGAAGTTGATGGAAGTTTCGAACGGTGAGGGGGGGATAGGAAAGTTTTGAAAAAAATTATATGGTTTAATATAGGCAATATGGGCTCAGGTGAAATATCACTTGGGAATGGAATATGAAGGTGTGCGAACATTGTAATAACAAGAAAGGGGTATTCTTGAAGGTCTAAGGCATAAAGAGAATCAACTCACTTTGTACAAGTTATAAGGTATTCTCAAACATTCTATTCAATAGATTCTATGCATATAGAAAAAACAGTTGTAGATTGTCAAAGTGGATTTAGAAAGTTCTACCATAGAGCAAATATTCAACATTTGACAGATTATAGAAAAGAATTTGGAATTAATACTCTCCACATATTTATTGATTTCAAAACTGCTTGTGATAGTATTAATAGAGAAGCTATCATTGCAGCCTTAAGGGAGTTTAAAATACCTGAAAACTATTAAAGCTAATTACCCTGATACGAGATGGAACTAAAATCCGGTATTTTAAAATACAATTCATACAGAAATTGATCCTGTCAAAGCCCAATTCGATAATGAAAGTAGAAATGGGTGGTTTTTTTTGTTGATGCTTTTCTTTTTTTCTTGTTCTGGGAATGCCCTTTTCTTCAGTCTGACACTTTAGAAAAAAAAGAGATTCAAATTATACAGAGGGAAACATATTGTAATAAACTAGTTACAAGTTATTAGCTATTACTGAATGAAATTATTCATCATTGATAGAGCCCCACTAGCAGCACTTAACAATGGGCATTAATCTTTCTAGAGAAGAGGAGGATCTAAATGGGCTGGAGATTTTAATTTTATGAAAAATAAAACAAAATAATTGGCGATTGAAAAGGTCATTCTGTTTGGACCTGATAATCTCTGATTGGGAGGGAATATAATTCATCATTCGACACAGTTTCTGCATATTATTTGGTGATCTGATTTACAACCAATTCCCTCCCTTCTCTTTTTTTTAACAATCTAATCTCTTTTGTATTGATTGATTATCCTACATGTCATAGTGATAATTTTTTTTTTTTTTTTTTTTTCTATTATGATGAAGGTTTTTGCCAACAATGACTGTGGAGGCAAAAACCATGTATTGTCTAAAAACATTTGAAGCTTTTTCTATTTATGCGTTATGGATTTGAAACCGTGAGTCCACCGTAGTCGTACTATAGTAATTGTTATGTACTTCAAAGCAGTTGTACCATGAATCTGAAAATGTAAACTAATTAAATTCGCGCATCATGTCTCTATTTCTTAACTTTTGTGTATTGGAAGTTAACAACAAATTGTTTAATTATATCTAGAAATATTGTTATGTGCAATTTTCATTCTGATAAAGTACAAAATATAATTTTAAGAGTCATGTTAAAACTAATTAGTAAGTGCTAATTATCAAAAGTAATTAGTTCAAACTAATTAGTTTGCATTTTACCGTCTTTTCAAAATTATAATTTAATGTACGATAACATTATATTATAAATTATTATATTATTTAATATTCAAAATGATTGCTGTATTTTAAAGGGGAAAATATTTCTTCTAGTTATACATAATTTTTTATGTATGACTTATTTCTATCATTATTTTAATGAAATATTTATCACTAGAAAAATATATTGCAACAAATACTTTATTACAATGTAATAAGGATAAGTTCAAAGGAGGAAGCTCATCCCTGTATTTAGTTTCTGTAATATCAGAAATAAATACTAATAGGAATATAAAGTAATGCAAATTGAACTAGAATGATTATTTGAAAAAGAGATATAGTCGCCTATTTTCAAATACATAAATTTAAAATTGCATTACATTTCAAATACAGAAATAATATTTTCATAAATTTGAACTTTGATTGCTTCATTCTTTGCCTGTTACAATACTCATTACAGTAACCATATGGCATACACACTGTCAAAAAATAAGAGAGTTGTTGAATTATTATTATAAATCTCATGAAACCTTCTATATGTACAAGATGTTTCTGCTGATGATGCATTGTAAATCATGCAACTTAGAACCAAGATATAAAAAATTTCTTGGAAACATTATATTCAAGAAGAAAATTTATAATTCAAGAAGAAGAAGACTGTAATATAGTGCTTCTCAACCTTTTTTTTTTTTTTTTTTTACTCTTTCACAAATGGCTAGAATAGCAGAACAATCCCTCTCTTCTCAAAACTTGAAAAATACATACAGTTTTCTGGTGTGAAGGCTCTGGGATTCGGAGCACCAGTAGTAGAAATAAATATATAAATAAAATTAAAATAACAAGGCAAATTTCTGCCCCTCATGCAAGTCTAGAAATAAATCTAATACTCAATAAAAGAAGCAAGTTCACCTTAAATGCAATTTTCCATCAACTAACTGAGATTTCTAGCAAGCCACTTTCAAACATATATTGGCTAATGAGTGGCACTGTTGTCAATGACAAAAACTGATTGCAGCTTCTGTGTTGATGTTGGCTATAGTTTAGTAGAATTCATACTTTTGGCTCTGGAGCATGTTGAGCAGGTAGTTCCTATGTAGTTAGTTGTAGTAAGTTAGCACTTTTATATCTGTTCTAAACAATGAATGAAGCTCTAATGTTGCCATCCGTACTGCTGTTATTTTTACTAGTGACAAGTGCAGGAGCCAAGTCCTGACAGGTCAAGATTTTTGCGACACCCATTTTGTATGTTGACATACATTTATGTTAGATTCTAAATAATTTTCTTACCAATTCATAAATATTTATTTATTAATTCATTGTTTTTAAAATTAAACTAGGTTTCTTCGGGTAATTATCCAAAAAACCTTCCTGTAATAAAAAATAATTTTTACATCATACAACTAAAACTAAATACTGACAGCCTGACATACATGGCTGACCCCATGCATTCCACCCTCCCTGCCAACTAGAAACTTACTCCCCCCAGTTCAAAACCCTAGCTGCAATACCTTGTTTATTTCCTACAATTTGGATTAAGTATGTAGTCGGTGAGCCGGTGGGGCAGGGCTGCAAATTTGTGTGGTATTTATATTAATATGTAAATTGTTTGCGTGGTTCCCTGTTTCCTGTTAGGTTTGTGATTTGATGACCGATGTTCCAACCTTGAAAAACTATTTATCTTTCTTTCCTCTTTTCCCATGAATCTTTGTGGGCTACTGAAAGTTTTTTTGCCAAGTTCGTTTAGGTCTGCTAAGTATTTGATTGCTGTTGAATCTGATAATTGGGCAGGCCTAGGAAACTTATCACCCTTCTCCAGAAATTCCAGAGAGAACTTTCTGCACTGGCATTTCCCAGAAACTCGTATTTTTTACTTGTTCCGTGTTGAATATTTTCCTGCTAATATACATATTCTGTAAAACCCTTGCCATGAAAGACAACACCTGTAGCTTCCAGTTATCTGACTCTTAATTCCAAGCTGTTAATGTCCCTCATGTAAGTTAATAACAGTTTCTGATTGTAATATGTAATGATTCTGGTCAACACATCTTCACATCACGGAGTTCCTAGGTTGTGGGCTAGTAGGTAAGGTTATTGTATAACACTACTGTGAAGCAACCTTTTTACACAGATTTCACTACTGAGAGCTTCGATTCCGCCATAAAAAACAATTATGGGTTTTTGTAATCCCGATGCTATTGTGAAAGGCAAACAAAACCATTTGCAGGGTTGGATTTTTACCTATCCATAACTGCGCGTTTAAGCCAAACTGCTATTGCCTGACCACCCACGTGTATAATGGAAACTACCGGGACAAAAGGCATTTGGCCAAGTGTTTAATTTTATGTCAAGATAGTACAAGAATTATTAATACATTACAGTAAAGCAAACACAAGTCAACATTCAACTGACAATTTTGGTAAATTTACAGAAAGATGTTTTAAGAAGGAATATCAGTTGTACATTTATGCATGTGTAAACTTACTTCTTTATTCATTGGGCCTTGTCAATACTTCCACAATAAATGATCAATGCCACCATTGTCAGCTTGCCTTGTCATTGTCAAGCATGCATTTCAGCTAGAGGATGAGCATTATTAGAATGATGTTTTCCATTGCACTTTCTTTCCGATTCCATTTGGTTATTTCTTTGCCAATGTGGGGCATAAGACATATGTTTTGTGTGCTTGCTTTATGTTGTGTCGGCTTGTGTCCAAGCAACCTCCCCCCCCGGAAACATCAACCTCTTGGCATCAAGTTCACTAATATCATGAAATAGTTTTACCTTTTTATTCAGTTTTGTTTTGCCTCATACTTATTTTTTTGTTCAGCGAGATATATAGTTAAGAAAACTTAAGAAAAATATATTTATGTTTGATCTTGTGAAATTGTTTGTTCATGCTTCTTTGTGTATGTTCAAGTAATTGTAACCATATTTGTTTCAAAATGACCTTTCAATCATTATTGGCCACACCATAAGCAGTTAATAAAAACAGGTCTCACACAAAGCGGAGGGCTAAAATTACAGGGGGGATGACAATCACGCATTTTTATTTAGTCGTTAGGTATTTAGTTGTCGCGTTATTAACTATAAAAATTATGCATAACAATAAAAACATACGTGATACTTTCATTATAAATTTAGTTTTGTTATAATTGTTAAGTACATAAGACAGGTTACATTTTACCAGAAGGATATTAAACAGAAAAAAAAGGGAGGAACTCCTTCTTATATTTGGGGCAATATAATTAATTTAATATTTTGTACTTATGTTTAAATAAAGTCTAACAAATTTATTCATCATTTTTTGAACGACCACTAAGTGAAAATAGGTTAAATTGTATAGTTCATGTTTTTGGTTCATGTAGTTTTCTAAACATTATTATGCAGATGTTTTTTTTAATCAGAAGGGATTAAGAGACTTTACTTTATTCCGCTTTTTCAGGTTGGCAAAAAACACACCCAAAGATAAAAGACCTTTGTAGGGAGGTCTACTCGTTTCTCTGGTATTTGTTCCTTTGGTGTCCTTTAGTTTTAAAGTATGGTAGATCTTGAATGCATACAGTAATATTGGAAGTGTTACAAGCTACTCATCTTAATAAAGGAAAAAGGGAATGACAGAATTAGGACAAGATTCTTAAGTACAGTCAAAAGTCGTTATCCGACGTAGGTGCTTTCGGCGATCGGCTTGATCGATTTTTCGGACCTTAGCGGATATCAGTTGTTACTTGTGAATTAAGATGGATGTCCAGAGTTTAATTATAAACTAAGATATTGCACGTAATTTATGAACTAAAGAACAATTATGATTTGTTCAACCCCCCCAGTTTGGTTTCTAAAATTTGCAAAAAGAAAACGTATTTAAAATTGATTTGTTTCTTCTAATTTTAAACATTTTTTTTCATACCTGTGACTTTGTGGTGCTTAAGTTTTCTTGCCTCCCCCTTCAGTGATAATTACTTTCTCTTTAATTCTATAAAAAGACATAATTTTTTGTTGCGTGCAGTTACATTATATTTAGTTCGTTTTTTCTTTTTCCCGCTACAGGAATATTCATTGTCCCCTTCTATGTCGACGAATCCCGACTAATTTGCAATCGAAATCTTTATTGTTTTCAATTAACCTCGTCACTTTTCACACAGCCTACGACAGCGACTATCCTTTTAATGACGAGGGGAAATTGGTTTTTTTAAATCTATCAAAGAGGCGGCAGAGCATATCGAGGTGTTGACCCAATATACATTTGGTAAGGGAATTTATAAGCCAAAATAAATTTTTTTAATAAAACATATGTTTTCGTTTCTTTGCTCGAAGAGTCGGATCGTTTTGTTATTGTTGCGTGGACAGATCAACTTCCAATCATTACGCCCCCCTCTCCTGCGAGCAGGTGAATGAAATGTAAACCAGATTCTCCGGATTTCAACAAACATTATTTAGTTCTTTAGATCCTTTAATATCAACAAATATATTCAGAAATTCTAGGTGATATAAGCTAAAGTTAAGCTTACTTTTACTAAAATTGTCTCCACCAGTCTGCAAAAAATAATAAGCCGGATCCAATTCGAAATCAAGGAACACGCAATCATCAACCATTAACTGAAATAGATAATTAGATAATTTCAGCTTATACGCCCATTCATGCTACATAAAATTACGCGAAGCGTGAAAACGTTATTCTGCACCTGGACCACTTCATATGCGCAGTTTAAAGTCTTACGCGCACGCGTAAACACCTATGGCATGTTTCTTTTTCTTGTGGCAATTATAAGGCGCTTTTTTTTTTTTTTATGGCAGAAAAGTTTGTAGTTCTTGAGTGCTTTCCGTTTGACCTATTTTTTTAGATCATTCCGATTATGGGGGTTTCTTTCCCCCGAATTAACAAACTTTTGACGGTATTAATAAAAATTGGTTTAGATTAGTAAAACTAAACTACAACCAAGTTTAAAAAATTAGAAAATAAAATTGTAAGTTATTTTAGAACATAAAAATAATGCATTAATTGCCCAATTCTTAATTTTGAAACCTCCGGTAATTTCTTATGTGAGCTCTAATGTATGAATCTTGGATCTGATGCAGACTAATAAATAGTTTTCCTAAAAATCAGAATTTTAAAGTTTATTGATCTATAAAAGGTTTCAAATGAAAAAGGCTACCAAGTTGATTAGTGGTTTGTTTTAAGTATCAATAGTTTAACTGTACTTGAATTATCCAAGAATTATTTTTGGTAGTTTAGTTTAATTGAAGAAGAAATGCAATAAATCAAATAAGTGAGAGATGAGAAAAAAAAAAAAAAAAAAAAAAAAAAACTTGGGATATCTTTTCAATTTTTGACCATTTCTAATCTAGCAAACTTATAGGTTAAGCAGATATTAAATAAACCGAGGTGATTTTGAGGGCAATCTGGCTGTAGTCTTTCTTCTTGGAGAACCGAAGGTCTCAATTCCTTCAAAAATGATAATTTGATCTAAAATCAATGCTAATCTAAGGTGACTTATTCAATCACCTTAGATTAGCATTGGTAGACAAGTAATTTCACAGTGGTACAGTATTTCTTTTTATTTATTTATTTATTTATTTTCAATTTTTAGGAATTAGAAATGGCAGATATTCATCTAGAAAAGTTCCTTGATTTGTTGCTGCTATTTTTATTAAAATTCTGATTTAGAGTGTGTATGATTTGTTCTCCAATAACAATTTCTCTAACTATCAATTTTAATAACCAACACTGGTTATATCTTTATTCCAGACTTTGATTTTGTGCTGGTTCAGTTATTCAGTGCTTTTGTTATCCTTACACATACTTTTTCTAGACTGGCATGAAGCATTTGGCCACCCTATTAAATGTTTTTCTACTTCCCCTTGAACACACTACATTTATACCCATTGTCATTTTGTAAGTTGAGTCCGACTTGTATGATAAACATCTAAAAAGTTCAAGTTAATGGCATTACTTGCTTCAGTCTGGAATGAATTGCGCCATATCATTGTTACCCACCTCTTCAACAATATCTTCAATTATCGTTAGTGCGATCTAATGTCGTCCAAATCACTAAAAGGACTTTTGGGTTCTTTTCTATGGCAACGGATTGCATTGTCAGACATTGGTTGTATGTTCAGATAATTTTGGCCATCCGTGCCTTTCTTTGTGAACATAGACAGATTCCCATTGGAAATCACATTTTTGTATTGTTCTTTCTTTTAAAATACAATGTGTACGTTAAACCTTAGTTATATCCATTAAGCAGGAACAGCACCGCATGGTCTGCTGTTTTTTTTTTTTTGGGACTTTGGTAAAGGTTTCCATTACTGTTAGTTTATGTGATACTCGTGTTGGTCCTTTCAAAACAGTGTTTTATGTCATATCATAAGCACACTATTAATGGTTGCCTCCAGTTACAATTAGTCACAGTTAAATAATATTGTTGCCTTCGTTTAGGTCAAACATACTCTGAAAATTCATCAATTTGTTATCCAAATCTTTTAGAAGTCTTTGGGAAACTTTTATTTCTCTTATAGAACTTTATATTGTTCCATAAATCTTTAAAAATTTTTCACATTAATTGGCCCTTCATCCCCCCCCAGTTAGGCCAAATAAACTTTTGTAAGGGCTTCATTGTTGCCAATTAAATTCATTCTGGTCATTTTTCCATGACCAGTTTGAACGACTTTCTTAGTATTGATAATCCATTTCATTACTCTGTTATGCCAGCAGCATATTATTCGTCGACCATATTAATTATTGATTATTTACAATTTAATTTTCTTCAATCCTGTATGGAGCTTTCACTAGACTTACACAATCCTGCCGCAGCACCAGCACAGTTACGTTTTCTTTCGCAAATTGAATGATCTTTTCACCCTGCCCGAAACCAGATCTTATGTTCGTACACTACTGAGCAATTATTAAAGCCAACCCACTGTGATTAACCCAATCTTCTTGGTCTCATACCCGCCTCATCTTCGACTCCCAGCTTCAACATGGTAGGAAGAGAGAAAACACCTGACTCCTAATTCATTCCCCCCATATTCGTATTGTGCCCCTTATTTGATTATCAGCTAGTACATGTGTTCAAAAAAGCCTGGGTCTAAAACTTTATAAAGACTGAAAAAAAATAAGAGTATTGCACATGTATCTTTTAGGTTTTTTTGTAAAGAAAAGGGTGTGCACATCATATGACAAGTATACCTAAATATGAAAAAAAAAATGTAGTTTAGAATTGTAGATGTGTATTATATGACTTCAGAATATTACTTGTTTACATAATCAAATAAACTTATCTTCCATGAGTTTACCTCATGTTAGATTACATGTGTTGAAGTTGAGGGAAAACTTTTGGATAATGAATTGTCAGAAGACTATGCATAAAGCACTAACTGAGTGCATCAGATATAAAAGACATGAAGCCAGGAGAATGCAGTGTATTCCAGCTACGAAAAAATAGAGTCTAAGACATTCTCATGTTTGAGGTGATAGATTTTGATCTTTCAGGACTATATTAAAAAACAAGGAAAAGACATAGGAAATCTGTTTACTTGCAGTATATAAAGCTATCTATCTAAAATCGGTAACATCTTTGTCAGCCAAAGTTTTTTGCTTCTGCTCTACAAATTCATTGCAAGAAAAAGATTTTGAAAAGTAATTTGTGATTATGAAAGCAATTTTGCTGGTTCTTGTAATCTTCTGAAATTCTTTGACTGAAAAGTGACTGAGGTGGAGACATCGATGAAAGAATTGGTGGGTTTGTTTTTAAACTGCGCTAAAGACCTTGATGGGGGAGGTGGCAGGATTTTGGCATGGAAAGATGAGCCGTCCCGATGGTTAAAACATCTTTCTACACGGGTTTTAGATGCTATATGGGATCTTCTTATTGTTTTTTTTCGTATGGGTTCGCAAAGTTTGAATGCACACAGAACCAATGATAGTTTGATAAAATATATTTTACCTCAAAAAACACTTCACAGTTCTGGAATTTTCCACAAAAATACTCAAGCAGCTCTTAGAGTATCACAGGATGCAGTCAATAGTTTTATTTGAAACTCTTAACACAACTCGGGGCAAAGCACATCTGTATAGCCAAACTAACAAGGAGATACCTCAATACTCCAAACCACGCTAAACTAACAAAAAATTAAACTGAGAGCTCTGTCGTTTTTTGATGTTTTACCTGGCCAAGAGAACCTTTAGTTACTTCTGAAAATTATATAAAGGAATCCCCAGTCCCATAATATGAGGGCCAGATATGGTTACAGTTGCATAGAGGATCTGTTACAATTATTCAGTTACAATACCCATTACAGTATACAGAGACCAGTTCAAAATTTTTTTTTTGTGGACAAACTTGGTTTTATTCAAGTTTGGTGACTTATCCCCCAAGTTTTGCTACAAAATTAGTCACCAACTGTTGCGAGTTTGTGTTATTTGCCCCCCCCCCCCAATTAGCGAGCTAGCACTGTAATCAATGGTAACTGACTTGCCCCCCTGTATCTTAGTTTTCTTGGCACAGCATGTTTAGCTCGGCTTTTCATGTTCTGAACAAATAAATGCAACCTCTTCCATGTACAAAAATCTAAACAGTATTTTGAATATAAGCATTCAATGGCTAATTCCTTTGACACCTACAGTGTTTATGGGGTGAGATTTTTTAAGTGGGGTGCCAGATTTAGATCATTTTGATCTGGTAAATCTAAGATATCAGCAACAATTGAGAGATACTTTGAAAGAAAAATTTTTAAATGAATATTGCAGTCAATTTTTGCAAAGACTATCTAAGGTAGAAAACTATCAAGACATAAAAATTGTAGCTATAATTCTTGTTGAGAATGAGAATAAACAAAGAACATTTTCGTCTATGGCAAGAGTAATTCAGGTCTATCTAGGGAAAGATGGTGAAAGCAGAGTTGTACACATCAAAACAAACTCTTGTGAGATAGTTTGATTACCCAGAAGGTTTTCTACTCGAAACATCTGCAGTTGAATTTACAAACAATGAATTTGTGGAGGACCAAAGTATTCCTGAAAGGCTAGTGCCAGATTTTCTGAGAAATAAAATTGAGGTGGTTGATAGGAGTGGAAGATATTTAGGGATCCCTTCCAATTTTCCAATACTTGATCTAAACATTCTTTTTTTAACTTGAACTGATTTTAGTTTTTAGTTTTGATTCGAAATCCACCTTGTACAAGATGTAGGCAACTGTGGTTTGTTTTACATTGTTAATAAATCAGGCATAAAATCTGGGAACGGGGAGGGGGGAATGTAAAAGTTCTTCAGAATTGGCATTTTTAAGTTCCAAAAATTTTAGTTTATGTGATTATGGCAAAGGCTCAAAGGCTATCTGCCTAAGGAGAGGCATGCCTTCGTGGAGGATTTTCTAAGAAAAACTGGCTTGTATACATGCCACACACGTGGGAAAACCATGAAAACGGCCATGCAGCCAGCCCTTTCCCGGGATTCGAATCTCGGACCAAACTACCAATGTTCATCGACTTTACGGCTCGGTCACTGGTGGGCCATCAGTTACAAAAGAATTCAGCAGTGTTTTTGCTGTAATAATTTTTTAACAGAAGTGGTGTTTTTTTTTTTTTTTTTTTTTTTTTTAAATTCACTTAACATAAGCGGCTTAGACTACTTAAAAGTTCAAATAAATTGTTTCTGTCTTCTTGAAGATTAACGGAGTTGCCAAAGTAAACTTTAACGTACGGCAAGGCACAACATCTTGTGTGCATAAATTTTAGCATATTTTAAGATCATTAATAATATTTTAATAATTATAATTAAATCCTTATTTCCTGTGCTAAAATCTGTATGAGACAAATTGTGATTTTGGAATTGCGGGCTGTAATTCTGGACTACGAGCATCAGATTACCATAAGCTTAAAATCTTTTTTAAAATGTATCTCTTTGCAGGGACAGACAAATGTGCCATCAGAAGTTGAAAACTTGCCTACATTTCCTATGGAAACTTTTTGGCAAGGACATGAAAATACAGGACGTCCACCTTTAATAACGATGGCTTTGAGCCAGAAATCTGCTGGTAATTGGCAAGTGTATATGCATCTCATGTTAGCAACAGTTCTTCATTTAATTGTTATATTCCAAATGAAAAATATCAAGCCTCTGGGACTATTTGGTGCCAGTGTAAGTATGATTTCTGAAAAGTGTTATTTTGTATAAAGGAATATGTTTAATTTTTTAAACCGTGTGAAGCCTTAGCTGTGTTTATTTCTTTTTGTGTAATTTTATTTCTTAAATTGTTCATTTTAATAATAACAATGGTCTTTATTAAAATAAGCAGCAAAGTGAAATGTAGATTTCAACCACTTTAGAAAATAAAAACATATACATCTAAAGGCTGAACCATTACAGTTAATCTGCCTGGAATAACTGCCATGTCTCTATTACACTCTTTAAAAAAAATTTCATCATATTATCCGTTAGATAGAATATAAGCCTGTTCCAAAGTAAAAGATTTTCTGTATTCTTTAACCAATTAACTGGTTCATTTTCCTGCCTTATTGTGACCAAAAATAAGCATATTTTTTATAAACAATTTGTATTCTAATGATTACCTGAATTCAAATAGTAGTCAAAATTTTAAAGTGTTGCATTATATTTAAGGTTAATTTTTAATTATGACAAAATTAAGGCATTTTTACTTAAAGTTGACTTTTTTCTGACGAAACTGCACAACTGGAAAGTAAACTTTACAGGATATAAATGTGAAAGAAGTAAATTTGCTGTGAAAGTAAATTGTGGCGGTGGTGGAGGAGGATTACTAGTATCCGTTTCACAAAACCTCTAAACCTGAATTAGATCATCTCAACTTTCCGTTTCCTCATCATCACTATAAAATTATGATAAGGAACTTTCAGAATTACCAGAATCATTTATAGAAAATTCAGATTTGCTATCTGATCCAGTATCAGATTTATATTCTGTTATGAGCCATTTACTGTCACCCATCATTCTTTTATTTCATGACAAAATTAGGAAGAAATACTATTCGCAAAGCCTAATACACTGAACACGTGCAAACAAACACATGGAATTTTTCCACATAATGCAAAGCAGTAAAACCTGTCCTTGAACTGATATTACAATCTAATCTCTCCTGAACCACTAGAGACATCTATTAGAAACACTGCACAAAAGTTAAGAATGTAAAAAAGTCATAGATTGGTGCAGAAAAAATACACGGCCTGAGTGGTGTACAGTCAAATCAAAAAAGTCTGTTTTCACAGCACCTAAATGTTGTTAGAGCAAAACAGTTAATTGGTTAAGGCAGCAGGAATCTTTTGCCAAACGTTTCTTATCTACAATTTTAAACTGTTTTAGTTCATCCATCCTTTCTTGTGAACATAATGGAATCTCCATGTGGGAAATTACATTTCAGCATTGTCTTTCTTTTAAAAATAACCTTGGGTTTTATTTGATCTACCTACTAAGAAAGAAAATAGCAAGAATTTAATTGATCTATCTACTAAGCTACTGATCTTGATCCATCTACTAAGCAGGAAAGCACTATGATGAGGTGAGATTTTTCGTGACCTATTGTTTTTATGTTAACCATTTTTGTTCCTTTCACATCAGTTGTTTTATTTCCTATCATATCAAACATCACTGGAGTTTCACCCGAATTTCCAATATTTGACAGTATTTTTTTTATACCTTCATAGGACAGTAACATACTTGTGAAACTTATCAATTTGTTGTCCAAGTCTTTCGGAAGCCTTTGTGAAACTTACATGACAGTTAAAAGGTTAAAATTATAATTCTGAAACAACCCTTCCACTTTGTACTTTATTTTCTGTCTGTCAAGAATCTATAATTTGTGCTACATATGTCGCATGATGGTAGGTGGCACTTCCAAACGTGATGTTTATGTTCATTTTTCCATCAGTGCTGATTTTTTCACTGAACACAGTTTGGAGGGAAACAGAAGGAGGCTTCCAGATGAGTTGACCTATGACTTGTTGAGCCAAATCTCAGGTCATGATAACATTGGCTCCTGTATCAATGGTCTTATTGTGAGAACTCCATTTATGTGACCCATGATGATGAGGAGCCCATTATAACCGCCACTTATTGCAGAAATCGTGAGCACTTTAAAATGGGCCTTTTCAATATTTGGCAACCTCCTCTCTGCAAGGTGACCATTAATTAGTTTTCCTCCTTTTTCTTGGAAGTGGGCTTATCTTCCATGGCTTGAAGTGTTCTCCACTTCATTTATATGTGGCCTTCAATACCACGGTTCCATCACATTAGGGCTGGTCCTATGTAGATCAGGGCATTGACTCCATGGTTTGGTTAAATCTGCTAGATGAGCAGTCACTTGATTCACTGCCTTCTAGACAGTTCTGATTGGGTAATGGTCTCTATGAGTTGCTTGTTAGGTTGGCTTGAGTTTCATGGCATACACTTAAGTTCTCTTTAGATCATTAGCATTCACCATTACAGTGGCTGTCGTCTCTAGGAGCCAGATGCTGTCGATGCAGTACTGCAGGAATAGGACTTTCCTTGTTTTTGTTGGGCAATCCGAAAAGGTGAGATAAAATGACCTATCAACATCTATGGTGATTTTCTGGAGTGTTTCCATGTGCTTCTATTGACGAGATTTTAACTGAACCCTGTTGTTGTCTTTTAAACACTTCTTGCCAAAGAGCAGCTCCAGAATGCTGCGTAGAAATACACAGCTACTTCAAATGTAGTCTTTGGTTTTCAGGCAAAGTTTTAAGAATACCCGCTGCATCTGCTGTCGGAGAAGCAGCAAATCTTAGCTTGGGAATCTCATCCATTAGCATCTGCCACTGTAGAGATCTGAATTTTATATTCTTTCCAGGAGTTCTTTCCATCATAAGTGGGCAGCTTTAGAGAGATTCAAGAAGGCATTAGTAAAAATTTAAAACTGTCAGTTTAAATTTCTGCTGTCGTTATAAATTTCTTTAAGATTTTAATTTTTTCCTCTCTTGTGAGAGGTAATCAAATTTGTTGGTTGACAGCAGTAACCCTTTCTTCATTTTTTTGTTCGGCAGGAGAAACCCTTTCTTCAGTTTCACCAACGTAGTTTTTCAGCGTGGCGTGATTCGGCCTCCATAGTTAAAAATTTTTTCTTATTGATGGCAGTAATTTCTCTTTTCATTTCCTTTTGACCCACTTCCATCTCTTCTCTAACGAAGTTGACCATCCCTTCCATCTTTTCTTAGAATCTCACAAAGGCAGTTACCAGCTGTCTTAGTTGCTTCTCCATCACTCTTATCACCAGCATTCAATCTCACTTCTGACACCAAAAATTGTTGCTTGCGTATGAGTTTGTAATAGATTGAATGCATACAATACCGATGATAGCTTGATAAAATTTATTTTTACCGAAACAAACACTTTGCGTAAAATTTATTTTTACCGAAACAAACACTTTGCGTCTCAGGAACTTTCCACAAAAATACTCCTGCAGCTCTTCTCATATCTCAGAGTACAATCAATAGTACACTTCAAACTACTAAGAACATTAAACACAATGCAATGCAAAATCCATCTAAAGAGCGAAGCTAAAGTACTCCAGTACTCTGAACTCGTGCAGAACTAAACAACCACTGAGAAAATTTTGTTCTCCTCGGTACTATATAGTTTACATGGCAGCCCAGAGATCTCTAGTACCTTCCACTTTTCAAAATTATTGTAAGCTACATGGGGGCTGGATAGGGTCCCAGTTATATAGATGATCAATTACAGTTATTCATTACAAGGGCTGGACCAGAATGTCACCAAGTTTGGCAAACTTTGGTTATTTCTTGCAAAATTTGGTTTGTCAAAAAATTCTAGTGCCAAAGCCATTGTAGCGCGATTATCTTACCGAAACCTTAGAGAGAATAGCCATTTACTCCACTGTTTTTAATAGGAATTGCCCTGTATTTTTATTTTTTGGCAAAGCTTTGTCTCTTGAGATTTTCATGTTACATTGTACAAAAAATACTACAGTTTTAAACATAACTTCACTAAAATTATTTACATATATGCAAAAACTCATAGCAATATGTATTATACTATGTAATATAAACATGAAGTAAATATAATAAATCTATACAGTTAAGCAATTACTGTATAATATAAGCACAAGTTTAAATGTGCTTATGTTATAGTGTAAATATACACTGATGAGCCGAAACATTATGACTATCCCCACATTTTTTAATGAACATGTCTAGGTGATGTGGAGGGCACGTGATTAAAAGTGGGAATGGTATTCAATTGCTGCTGGAGAAGGTAAGGAATCATTCTTGCACTTACTTTTTCGAGTGACGGAAAAGGCTACTAATCTAATTTGAATGAGGGCTGGCCCGAAGACTCCTAATGAGTATATCCAAAACTGTACGGCTGGTAGATTGTTCATGATCTGCCATTGTTAGTATGTATGTAAAGTGGATAAATAATGGTGAAACAAGTAGTAGATGCCAAGTTGTTAGACATCCACACGTCATTTAGAGAAAAGGACATTGGAGACTGTTCTGCTTGGTACAGAAAAATTGTCATCAGACAGTGGCTCAGCTGACATCCAATGTACAACGTAGAGGTCCAAAAGTGCTGCAAATGCTTCGGCACAATGTCGAACAGGGTTTTCAATTATTTACAATATTCTGATATGTAAGAGTGTTTTGGAACATGGTTCAATTTATTTATTTACAATATTTTGATATATGAGGAAAATCTCTGTTTTTACTGTACACTTTTTCATAAGAAACTTACAATTGATTGAATTATAAACATTTTGTGTTAATTGGTTATATAAAAAAAGGGGGGGAATGAAAAGGGATTGTCATTATGTCTTAAATAATCTTTAATGTCGACACAAAACTTGAATAACAGTGTAATTTAGGTTTCATGAGTTTTTCTATGCCTTTTTTATATAATACATTTTTTCTTCCTCAGGCAAAAAAAACCTTCTTTCGGGAACTTCATTTTCATATCCAAGAACAAGCTGAAAAAGAAGACCAGAGTTTGTGTACTCTCAGAATGCAGTTTCTCTTGCGTGCTGCTTCGGCTGTGGCTCAAAGTTTACCAGAAAGAGAGCCAGAATCTGTTCCTTCTGCAAATGTTGACGGTGCAGATTCTAGCAATCAAACTGATTACTCTCTTGCTAGCAAGAGGTTTAATTGCATACTTGATTTAGCGAGAGGTTGGGAGTTAGATTTGGATGAAATCAGAAGGCATTATATATGTGAGCTGTATTCTGGAGGGCAGGATCTCTTAGCTCAAGAGGTAAATTATTCATCATTTATCATCACTTATATATTATCTTGAAAAATTTCTGATAATTAAAAGAAGTTGTAGCGTAAGTATTACAGATTGATTATAGTTTATTATATTTTCATTATTACAAACTATGGGATCTTTGATATTTCTTTAAATAATAAGTCCAAAAAAGCAGAAAAAATAACAATTTGTTATGAAAATAAGCATAATAATTAGTGCACACAGCACCTACATTGTGCTATGGCATAATCAAGGAGAGAATGTGGATACTAAGCAATTCCTCCTCATTAGCACCTTGAATACATTGTAAAATTTTTCAAATTGCTCTCATGGTAAACCTAACTCATAATTCACCTAACTGCTAGATTATTCACAACTGATAATCCCTAGCTCTTCCACATTATGTATATACTGCACATGGGCTCAGGAAACTTCTGACCAATCGTTTTTTTCCCCCCTTGTAAGGCTTATAAAAATGAGTTTTTATGAATATACCCAGAAAAGTCACCCAGTGTTACATCAGGCCGAATAATGTGTTCGGTCTCCATTTTTAATTGAGCTAATTACCTCTAAGGTTCTAGCATCTCGTGAATAAAAAGTTGTAAATTCTGTGTAACATGTGTAAACCCAATTTAAATACAAAAAACCTGTGTGGCCATGTCAATAAAGTAGAAGGAATGAACCCAAAAAAACATCCAAAAATTACATGTCTAAAAGGACAATAATCATGGTTAAGAATAAGCAAAAGGATTGTAAAGAAAAACAACATTGCGGAAAAAAAAAATATTAATAGAATGTCATTATATGCATTTTTAATGATGTGACATGGAATGTGTAAAATGTTTTATCTCAGTTTTTAATCTATCTGAATCCAGTTGTTAGATTTGCTATGTCTAGTACCCCCAAAATATGATGTCTTTGCCAATACTGATTGTAAGAACCCAAAAGTGCATGCTTTTTACGGGCTAAGACTCCAGTGTGAAGAAACTAACAATTTAGAAAAACCACTGTAGTCCCTCGGTAAATACCCAATACAAGGGAAACATACAACTCCGACCCTCCTTGCCAAACCTAATTACGAGAATTCAGAAGATTTATAATAGTGCGGCATTACTCTAATATTTCAATGAAGTCCCACGTAGTTCTCCGGGGGCTTGACTAATTACTCGCATTTAAGGACCCTGTAGACTTCAGCTTATTTGAGAGAAAGAGAGCGATTATGAAAATAATTTCAGTGACATTTGAAAAATCTCATATTCATCAAATATTTTTAATAAAAGATTCAATTTATCAAGAAAAATCAGCATAAATTTTTAATACATTTAACTTTAAAAGACATTAAGTTTGAGTCATTTAAAATTTCCAAAAGTCTTATATTAAGCATTCATTCCAATTCATTGATTTATAAATAAGCATATGATGTAGATGAGAATGGATTATTAGAATTATATGATGATTACATAATGCAAATTCCAAAATCTGGACTCATCAGGATTTCAGCGATTCCAAATTTTAGAATTTTCCCAATTTTAAATCATCACTTTAAATCTAGTAAGATGACTAACGAACTTATAAAACTTAAAAATTATGCAGATATGGTTATTTATAAAACAATAAAGCATTTATGATTGTAAAGGAACCGAAATTTACACAAGAAAAAGCTCAGTATGATGTTTTGCTTTTATAACATTTCTTTCATTTTAAGTGTTACTATTTCTTGTTCAGTTACAAAGTTCTGTTGTTCAAATCCTGCATTGTGAAGTCCAGAAATCCCTCTGTAATGCAATCAAGTTTTTTTAAATTTCTCTGTAGTCTTTGTTACTTTCTCTGCAACAATATTTTTTGCATTTAAATCCATAGATTTTGAGTAGTGTCTTGATTTAGCTTAATGCTGTGGTAATATGTGTGGGTGCAGATATGATGATGTGCTTGGTTGCACGTCCATTACTTTAATTAAGGTTAGGAAGTATATTGATTTACACACATGTCACAAATAACAAAATATCACATTCAGATCTATAATCCTCGACACAAAGGAATAGTTACTCGTAGTCATAGTAATCAAATTAGGCGTACAATATTCATAGTAGCAGGAAAGTTCACTGGTATCGTGTGATTGGAGTGAGTTAAGTTTGTGGCTTTCTTTCCCTCACTGGATAAGGGAGGGGCTGATAGTGCTATCTTTTGAGTTGGTGCCTATTTTAAAGAGTTCTCCATATTATTTTCCCTCTTCCCTGGGTACCAAAGGTACAAAGGGGAAAATAAATCACAACTATCTGGGAATTGAATTGCACAGCTTTCCGTATCGTGTGATACTGTGAGTATGGAAGGAAGCAGATGTGTGTCACGTGGATTGAAGAAACATTCTGGTCACAGGAATCGGAGCATTCAAAGCTTTGAAGAATGCAGGCTTCAGCCAATCCACCTCCTCAGCAGTTTCCTTTTTATGCCTGAGAATGGTGAAATGTTTGTTATTACCTTCACAAGGTCGTATGAATGAGTGAGTGGAGGTTTTACTGCATCATTGAGCACAAACATGTGAATACAAGTCCTCAATGCAGGATTCATGAATGAAGCATGATGTAGGAATTGGAGATAGCGTTTCCATCACTTCTTGGAGAGTCTGGCGGAAGGACAATGGTTCGACTGGTGGCAGAGAAGTTGGAAAGCATGGATTGGTAGTGTTAAAAGCATCATGTCATACAAGCTAGGGATGTACCTGTGAAGTCTCCCTTGTAGGAAGAATGTAGATCAAGAAGCACAAGAGAGAGTAATGTAGTCTAATGGGACTTGAGGGCTACTTTGAAGTTGCTGTGAAAATGTTCTACTGTGCCCTTGGTGGAAGAATGATACTGCAAAGTACGAATTTGATGTAATCCAAGCATAAATGATAGAGAAGAGAAAAAGTATGATTGTAATTGTTGATTTTGATCAGTTGTTAGGACTGTTGGCATACCATATCATGCAATCAACCGGAGATGAATTGTTGAGCCATACATCAGCAGACTGTATCTGAAGGGAAATGACTTTCAGGAGAATCCAGTAAATCTGTCAGTGCAGCTGAGCAGATAAATCTTTAACACTCTAATAGTGGTAGAGGACCGATGATGTCTATATGAACATGGTCAGTGCTTGGGTGGCATGCCGATTTTTTTCCAAAGGACTATACCTGTGCTGGATAAATTTGGAACGTTGGGACATGATGCAGGAACAAGTCCAATTTGCAATGTCCTTTATCGTGGATGGCCAGATGAATCTTTCTTGTATGAATGTTTTGAAAAACCCATAATACTAAGAGCACACCTAGTGGTAGTATAAGGTCAATACGTTTTATTAGACGTGTAAAACATGTTAGATAGATTGGAGCAAATTATGAATTGTCTGACATCTTATAGTGAGCAGTTTGAGTTCTCACTGAGGACGTTCGATCCTCATCGATGGCTTGGAGTGAGCAGCAATAGAGTGCAATCCAGTGATGATTGCTCTTTTGAAAGCATGCGAGACATCTGTGTGGTCGTGCTGTACTGAGCTATGTAAATTTAAGTGCCGATTTGTCATGAGGAAAGCAGAATTTGTTTGATATAATGCGTATCGTAATTTGTGTGGTGGAGGCAATAAATGTAGGGAAATATTGAATCTACAAGATTATGCTGAGATATTTTATAGATGCATAAATGTGTGAGTAACTCTCTGTCAGACATGCTGTATTTTGTTCAGTGGGGAAGTTTTATAAGAAAATGCTAATGACAAAGTTCCATTAATCCGGATAGGTGAACTTCGGTATAATTTCAGATAGGGTTTTTCCGGATTATACATCCTCAATTTTAAATCTGGTAAGAGGCATGCAGAAATTATATAATTAAAAAATATGGAAACCGTAAGGTTGAATAAAAGAGAATTATGATCTAAAGGATATCAAAATTTTAAACACACTAAAAAAAATAAAAAAAAAAAAAAAAAAAGATTAAGTTTATTTGTTTACTTTATTAAAATTTTTTCTTCCGTGCAGTGGTTTACTGCTTATTTTTATGTGCTAATACTTTAATCTATTAAAGAATTCTGAATTCTATTAAAGAGCATAATTTCTGTGTTCTGTTAACAGTTAGTTCACCCTGTTCATGTCTTGTAATGGCTGTGTCCAGAATACTGACTAACTTCTTGTCATCAAAATTTGTGTCGTGTTCAAATAATACCTCTCGTCACTTTCGTTCACTATAGAAGCAGTATTTCGGAACTAGACACCATTACTACAGTTATCGCCATCCGTAATTGATTGATGATTGGCTTGTCATGCATATGAAAAAACTTGTTGTTTATAATATATCATCTTCATTATACCCTCTTCTCTTACATTTCTTTCAAAATCCAATAATGGAACGTTTCACCTTTAGTTGGGGATGTCCGAAAACCGTTCAAATTTTGCAGCTTATCATCTTCAATCATCCTCACATGTGTGAAATATGGTAGCTGGTCATAAAAATTATGCCAATGGCACTTAACATATCTGGAAACAAATCTCCCAATGTGCATTGCGCATGCATATAAAGCATACCAAACAAGTTTCGTGGCTTGAGGTCCGGATTCGGATTCTAGGTCATGGCCGGATAATGGACATCCGGATTACGGACTTTGTACTGTGGTTGTTAATGTGTTGAACATTTAAGACAGCTCTGATGGAAATGTCAGAAGCATCGGCCATAACTTGACTGACTTGACTTGAGTGCAACTTTTGACTTGGAGAATGATAACAAAGAGTTGCAGCATTAATAACATCATATTTACATTTTTCAAATGCCTCAGTAAGTTAATCACTCCAAGGAATGGGACGTCTTTCATTTTTCGTTGAATCCTTTAAGAGGTCGTGTAATGGAGCTTGGGTCTCAGCTGCCTTTGACAAGAAATGTTGATAGATGTTTATCATTCCTAAGAAATGTCTAAGTTGAACTATAGTATAGTAGGCTTCGGAAAGTTGGTGATAGATTTTTTTTTTTCCGTGTCAGGTGTTA